ATATCAAACTATAAGCTAATTGAAAATCAATGTATCCTGTTATATCCCCGAGCAAAAGCCGACCAATTAGTAGCGAAGTGGGCCGTTATCAGCACAGCATTGAACATTGGTTAATTGAATTTGAATCCATATTTTGCTCATTCTTGCTATCGATGTTAATCATATCTAGAATTGTTTTCTACCTAATAATAAGAGCGCAAGCAGTTGTTATTGTACATGAAAAATAAACAAAATGAAAAAGAAGCTAGAATTCATTAGTATGCGAGACAATGTGTAATACAATGTAACAACTGTCATCTACTCCACTGTGTACTAACATGTGAACAATCAAAAGTGAAACATGATAAAAAATAAAAACAAATGATTGCCACCTTTTGTTTGAATATCATTACTTTATTGTGGTTGATGCCCATAATGATTGATCCTTTTTATTCCAATATCATTGCTGTAGTGTGGTTGAATGACGTACTGATTACCTCCCTTTATTCCAATATCATTGCTGTAGTGTGGTTGAATGGCGCAATGATTGCCTCCCTTTGTTTCAATATCATTGATGTAGTGTGGGTAAATGACGTACTGACTGCCTCCCTTTGTTCCAATATCATGGCTGTAGTGTGGGTAAATGACATACTGATTGCCTCCCTTTGTTCCAATATCATTGCTGTAATGTGGTTAAATGGCGTAACGATTGCCCAGGATTGTTCAAATAGTATTGCTGAAGTGTGGTTGATGGGGGGTAATGATTGTCACCCTTTGTTCTAATATCATTGCTGTGGTGTGGTTTATAGGGGTGATAATTACCTCCCTTTGTTTCAATATCATTACTGTAATGTGGTTGATGGGGTTAATAATTGCCTCCCTTTGTTTCAATATAATTGCTGTAGTGTGGTTGAATGGCGCAATGATTGCCTCACTTTGTTCCAATATCATTGCTGTAGTGTGGTTGATGGGGGTAATAATTGCCTCCCTTTGTTTCAATATCATTGCTGTAGTGTGGGTAAATGACGTACTGACTGCCTCCCTTTGTTCCAATATCATGGCTGTAGTGTGGTTAAATGGCGTACTGATTGCCTGCCTATGTTCGAATATCATTGCTGTAGTGTGGTTAAATGACGTACTGATTGCCTACCTTTGTTCCAATATCATTGCTGTAGTGTGGGTAAATGACGTACTGATTGGGAGTGATTGCCTCCCTTTGTTTCAATATCATTGCTGTTATGTGGGTAAATGACGTACTGATTGGGAGTGATTGCCTCCCTTTGTTCCAATATCATGGCTGTAGTGTGGATAAATAACGTACTGATTTCCTCCCTTTGTTCCAACATCATTGCTGTAGTGTGGTTGAATGGCGTAATAATTGCCTCCCTTTGTTCCAATATCATTGCTGTAGTGTGGTTGATGGGGTACTGATTACCGCCCCCCCCCCCTTTGTTCGAATATCATTGCTGTGGTGTGGTTAATGGCGTAATGCTTGCCTCCCTTTGTTCCAATAGCATTGCTGTAGTGTGGGTTAATGGCGTAATGCTTGCCACCCTTTGTTCCAATATTATTGCTGTAGTGTGGGTTAATGGCGTAATGCTTGCCACCCTTTGTTCCAATATTATTGCTGTAGTGTTGGTTAATGGCGTAATGCTTGCCACCCTTTGTTCCAATATCATTGCTGTAGTGTGGTTAATGGCGTAATGCTTGCCTTCCTTTGTTCCAATATCATTGCTGTAGTGTGTGTTCATGGCGTAATGCTTGCCACCCTTTGTTCCAATTTTATTGCTGTAGTGTGGTTAATGGCGAAATGCTTGCCACCCTTTGTTCAAATATCATTGCTGTAGTGTGGGTAATTGACGTACTGATTGCCTCCCTTTGTTCCAATATCATTGCTGTAATGAGGTTAAATGGCGTAACGATTGCCCACGGTTGTTCCAATATCATTGCTGTAGTGTGGTTAATTGGGGTAATGATTGTCACCCTTTGTCATGTGGTTGATGGGGTGATGATTGCCCCCCTTTGTTCCAATAGCATTGCTGTGGTGTGGTTTATAGGGGTGATAATTGCCTCCCTTTGTTTCAATATAATTGCTGTAGTGTGGTTGAATGGCGCAATGATTGCCTCACTTTGTTCCAATATCATTGCTGTAGTGTGGTTGATAGAGGTAATAATTGCCTCCCTTTGCTTCCATATAATTTCTGTAGTGTGGTAAAATGGCGTAATGATTGTCTCAATTTATTCCAATATTATTGCTGTAACGTGGTTGATGGGGGTAATGATTGCCTCCCTTTGTTCCAATATCATTGCTGTAGTGTGGTTGATGGGGGTAATGATTGCCTCCCTTTGTTCCGATTTCATTGCTGTATTGTGGTTGATGGGGGTAATGATTGCCTCCCTTTGTTCCAATATCATTGCTGTAGTGTTGTTGATGGGGTAATAATTGCCCCCCTTTGTCCAATATCATTGCTGTAGTGTGGTTAAATGGCGTAATGATTGCCTCCCTTTGTTCCAATACCATTGCTGTAGTGTGGTTGATGGATGCTCGTAATGATTGCCTTCTTTTGTTCCAATATCATTGCTGTAGTGTGGTTGAATGGTGTAATGATTGACCCCTTTGTCTCAATATCATTGTTGTAGTGTGGTTGAATGGCGGAATGATTGCCTCCCTTTGTCCCAATATCATTGTTGTAGTGTGGTTGAATGAGGTAATGATTGCCTCCCTTTGTCCCAATATCAATGCTCTAGCGTGGTTGAATGGCTTAATGATTGCCTCCCTTTGTCCCATTATCATTGCTGTAGTGTGGTTGAATGTCTTAATGATTGCCTCCCTTTGTACCGATATCATTGTTGTAGTGTGGTTGAATGGCTTAATGATTGCCTCCCTTTGTCCCAATAGCATTGCTGTAGTGTGGTTGAATAGCGTAATGATTACCTCCCTTTGTCCCAATATCATTGCTGTAGTGTGGTTGAATGGCTTAATGATTGCCTCCCTTTGTCCCAATATCATTGCTGTGGTGTGGTTGAAAGGCTTAATGATTGCCTCCCTTTGCACCGATATCTGTGATTGTGCTCGTAATGCTTGCCTCCCTTTGTTCCAATATCGTTGCTGTAGTGTGGTTGAATGGCGTAATGATTGCCTCCCTTTTATCCCAATATCATTGCTGTAGTGTGGTTGAATGGTGTAATGATTGATCCCCTTTGTCCCAATATCATTGCTGTAGTGTGGTTGAATGGCATAATGATTGCCTCTTTTTGTCCAAATATCATTGCTGTAGTGTGGTTGAATGGCGTAATGATTGCTCCCCTTTGTCCCAATAGCATTGCTGTAGTGTGGTTGAATTGCGTAATCGTTGCCTCCCTTTGTCCCAATATCATTGCTGTAGTGTGGTTGAATGGCGTAATGATTGAACCCCTTTGTACCAATATCATTGCTGTAGTGTGGTTGAATGGCGTAATGATTGCCTCTTTTTGTCCCAATATCATTGGTGTAGTGTGGTTGAATGGCGTAATGATTGCTCCCCTTTGTCCCAATATCATTGCTGTAGTGTGGTTGAATGGCGTAATCATTGCCTCTTTTTGTCCCAATATCATTGCTGTAGTGTGGTTGAATGGCTTAATGATTGCTCCCCTTTGTCCCAATAGCATTGCTGTAGTGTGGTTGAATGGCGTAATGATTGCTCTCCTTTGTCCCAATAGCATTGCTGTAGTGTGGTTGAATGGCGTAATGATTGCCTCCTTTTATATTTTGATTGCTCGGTTACAGGACAGGTTTAATATTATGCTACAATCGCACATTTTGTAATCGTACGCACATGGTGGGCACACCGGGCACACGTGTAACATTGTACGATCCCACAACTGTCGGTACAAAGTCTAGCAATAGGACCCCGTATATCAGGTAACAAGTATTTTGCTCATTAAATTTCTTCTTGCAAAAACATAGGTTTTCGTAGTTTTCATTAAAATTAGAAATGTTGTTAATCACAAGCCCAAATACATTATTTCACTTTTATACACCTGATGTTATTCCTGACACAATTGTAACATGTTTTATACAATTTAAAATTATTGAATCAAAACGGTGACCAACTACATTTTATGGAAGTTCACACAAATTGTGAAATGTTGCGACACGTTTAATACGTACATTGTTTGTGCTAAAAACTTTGAAACTTCCAAACTGATTAATGTAATTTATTCATTTTTATTTAGATGTGTGTTGCAGTGCCACTAGATAACAGTACCAACTAAAAATGTTTGCATGATTCAATAAAAGCAAGTGTGTAGTAATATTAACAGTACTCACATGTACCGTTGCATGACCTCTGACCCCACAACACACACACACACACAATCAAACCAAAACAAAACAACAAGATTGTTTATCAACGGTTAAAATACATGTTAATATATTTTAATAATATTTATTGATATTATCAACAATAAATCACCCTGATATTTAAGTCCGCGTATTCAGCGTCTAAAATACGTCGTGTTCAAACTCCAGCCACAGACATTGGTAACGAACCCCTGTGCTCCAGTCACAGACATTTGTAGCGAACCCCTGTGCTTCAGCCACAGACATTTGTAACGAACCCCTGTGCTCCAGCACATGTCTGACAGCGACGTTGCAGACGTGTCCCTAGAATATGGAATGACTGTAGATTTGAATCAAGGCACGTCATGTGACGTTTATGGCGGGCCACGTCATGTTTATGGTGGGCCACCGAGGCGTGTCTGTTATAAGATCTTATAACAGGTCCTTTTTCAACAGAACAAAATACTTCACTGTTCTCCAGAATTTACACTAGCGTCCGTTGCAATGTGTATTTCGTCACCATTGTCCACGCATCATCTTTCCCGCGAAAAAGTCTGTTCAATTAATGTTGTTTTTATGACGGTGTTTTGCTTTTTAACGTGAAAAAAGATTATTTTTTTTTAAATTTAAATAATAAAAGTGGATGTAATAGAATGTAAATATAAGGTTTGCTAACGCGCATCATGGAATATGTTTGAACGGAACTGTGTTGCATACCCTCATAAATGTTAAAAAGATGCATTTCAAACCTTAAAAAATATTTGTTAATAAGTAGCTTTCAATGATAATACCTGCATGAACAACGACACCACCAACAACAAAGCATTCATTAGTTACATTTCCGTGCTTCAAAACAAAACAAATGGTTTGACGATTTCAATATTTCTTTCGGTACGTACAAATTATATGTAAAAAGTTTAAAAATCAAACTAATAAAATGAAATTTGTTCTATACTCCTTTTTATAAATGAGGACAAACATTACAAATGTTCTCCTAATTAAAAATACAACTGAAGTAGCCGAAGAGTTACGTATATGCATAAGCTTATCTGGTTGTGTATGCATGTAATTTGGAGGACGGTCTGGCCTTCTTTGCCAAATCATTTTTTAAGACGATAGTTATTTCAACCTAGCACACCTGTAATAGATATTCAGTAAATCACAAAGTCACAGTATGTATCTTGCGTATACATTTGGAAATGCAAGGAATATTGAACACGTACATTATATTCTCATGCATTATATAATCTCTCTCCTCTATATCATGGTCTATATACATAACTAAATTAAGTTTACAGTTTATGGATACATTTTCTTTTCTTTCATCTTTCTTTTCATATATTTTGAGCAATATGATAGACAGATACAAACATACCGGTTCTTGACATAATTTCAATGATTGATAAAATGTTTTTTGTTTTTGTTTTTGTTTAATAGTTTCGTGCGAAGCTATCAATATTTTTTTGTCAATTAATCAGTCCAGTTTTGATTAAACATAAATGTTTTTTTCAACCATGTAGGTACATTGTACTTTGTCTAAATTCTTATGTTTTCTAAGTCTATAAATCATTTCCGGTCAGGAATGTTGGAGTCCTTCTCAATATTTTAGAAATGTAACAGTTCAAGCAAAAAATGAATAATTCATATTCATTTTCAGTTTCGTAACACATAAACAACAGTATTTCTGGGTTTCTGGAGCAAGTCTTTTTTACAGTTCGAATTCATGACTTCTCTTTTCCTTTTCTCTCCAAAATACGAGTAAAACACCCTCATGCTTTACATTTACAGAACACGACATGGTGTTGATCATCCTGCCACGTTTCTACAAGACGTAATCCAGACTCCTGAACCAGCCTCTGGACCTGCTGCATGGTGAATTTATGACTGATGCCGACTCCTTCGTGGAGATACAGGGGTTCACCCTCCGCCATGTCTACTGTAATACCGAGAAAGGCTGAATGGAAAGCAAAATTATCACAATAAAATTGACAATGAATAGTTTCAAGTTTAAAATGTCCTTCACAAATAAAAATAAGACAGGTTGATACCGCAGAAGGCCTAACACGGCATATCTAACGGTACATCTGTACATTATGCCGTACATCTCTCATAAGAATTATTTGATCTTTACCACAAGAATAACTACGGTTTCACGTATATACATGTATATGGCGTTCCACTCCTACACGCGAAATCATATCGAAACTAACTTGATTTATTTCCCTTTGAAAAGTAAGATATATATTGTACAGCTAAATGAAGATTAAGCTTTTTCCCACATACTTTTTTTTTCATTTTTAGAAAGATTGTTGAAATTATTTATCGTACATCTTTCTGCCATCTTATATGTGGCAAACATTGGTTTTATGCTGTTAAGATGTGAGTTAAGATGATGAAATGGTTTAATTTTTCTGGCAATGCATCAATGGTAGAAATAATCTAAGGGAACTTAAGAGGTATATTTTACAATGTATGGAATTAAATAGACGACACTTACGTAGTTTGAACGAGTTGTTTAGCTGGGATCTAAGGAGAACCTGGACAGAGCTCATTTTGTGGGGTGAATCTTCCTGGACAAACTGGACCTCTAATTTGTAATTGTCAGGGTTGATAGTACAAAGCTCTTCCCGTTTCAGCCGTTGAATAGAGTTCATATAGAAATTGATGGCTATTTACAATGTAAACAGAGAAAAAGATAATTACAACACAATTTTATCATTTTATTCATGATTGAACTTCCGTTTCTGCCGGTGAAAAGATAAATATGTCTGAATATATAAAGTGAAATAGAATTTATCAATTTTTAAAAGCCAGGTTCAATTATGTTTTAGTTCAAAATTCAATAAAGCACTATGCAGAACCTCCAAACACGTACCCTTTGGTTATGGGTTTCCTGTCTATACACAGGAGACATAAAGTTCATAGAAATATTTTAAATGAAGTGAATGGATAGGCGGGGGGTGGTACAGTGGATAGGGCAATCGGTTTTCATTTCGACCCATTGGCGCTAAAATCCGGGCCAACACGAGTGAGCAATGAAAGTGATATAACTTGTTTCATAAATGTTGCATAAAGATAAAGAGATAAAGTTTGTGTATAAGTGTAGGTTAGGCACATACTACATAAACTTGATAGTCAGTGTCATTTCTTGTAATTGAATTTTAATCAAGACTGATCAATTTAAAATCGTAGACGAGAGATGGTTTATCTTACCATGTACATCCCCGTATGCCTTCATGACAGACTCTTTATCCTGAGTAATGTCCACACTAAAGATCAGGCAGCACTTATCTGTAAGGATAATTTAAATGTAAATATATGATTTCCATATTTATCTAACATCACCGTAATGCCACTAAAACCAGTAAATTTCCCCCCAGTGATGTTCGTTAATACCTAACCAGTATAGCGAATCGTCAATAGTACTTTCCATTTACAACATTAACCCCGTAAACCTTTATGTGTGATAAGATATAACAAAGTACAGAACAACAGTACCAAAGGGGAGGAGGGGGGCAGCGTTTTGGAAGTTTATATTTGTTCAGGACTTAGTCTTTATTGCGTATCATGTAAATTGACATCATCTCAGCCGATACCAGCCATCTTTCTCAAATAACATTAATCAGTTTCTTCAAGTTACCGAAAATTAACTTTCACAACTAAGAAAAGTCATGTATTTCAATGTTAATCATTGTTACACACAGACACATTTGGAGCTGTTCGTTTCAGTACGACTTGTGTAACATAAACATACAAAATTTTCCATTTAAACACTTAGATTACTTGTTATTTAGTTAAATCTTTGAAGGTGGCGAAACTGCCTGCACCTTTGAGCAAAACCACGGAAGGTCTGATGACGTCACAAATGGTGCTGCGTGACGTTATTCAGGTATGTTTACAACAATATTTATCTATCGGCATTTCAGTTAAATCCTCTTCTCTACTGATGCTGGTCGCCATTTTGATACATACATTTTTGGACAAATTATTAATCGAAACCCTTACTTATGTGACGAATTTGCCTGCACTAACGTTACAAAAGGGATTTAAACCAAATGTGGTCTGAAGTATGCTCAGGGACAAAACGACACAATTCATATTTAGTTAAGGACTTGATGAGCTAAAAACCATTAAAATCAAGTAAACAATGTGGCTGAATATTTATACCTCAGTTACTTAGTGTACAGCTCGACCATAATTTGATGTACACAATGTAGCTGTTGTGTAGAATATTTATACCTCAGTTACTTAGTGTACAGCTCGACCATAATTTGATGTACACAATGTAGCTGTTGTGTAGAATATTTATACCTCAGTTACTTAGTGTATAGCGCGACCATACTGTGATGTACACAATGTAGCTGTTGTGTAGAATATTTATACCTCAGTTACTTAGTGTACAGCTTGACCATAATGTGATGTACACAATGTAGCTGTTGTGTAGAATATTTTCTAAAACCTATGACATGAAACTGGTTGTTAACCAAATACATGAAGTGAACAGTTTGTCTTCATGTCACACTTAAGAGGGTATCCATATCAATGTTGTGCATGTACAACTCTTGAACAAATCATACAGAGAATGTAGATACTGTTACTTATTAAAAGTTTTAAACATGAACATTTTTTTGAACGTTTACCTTTTAATTAGGTTACATTATCCGGAAAAGATCATCTGTATAATTGTCTGTATTTTAAATTCATATCGTTATAATTCCTGGGAGGCAACACATTTTAGGTATACATTTCATTATTGCATAAATAAAATCCATATCACATATCAAACTTTTAATTAGAGCTACAGTGCATGATCGATTTGTTATTTTGACTGTTTTATGTCGTTTACTATAATATAATTCATAATATGATATAAACTTTTTTATTTAACAACAATTATGAAACAAGTAATTTCAACTTATATTAATCACTCTTGTTGGCCCGGATGTTAGCGTGTGGGGGTCTTAGTGTGGGAGGAAACCGGAGTACCAGGAGAAATCCAACGTGGTCGGGCAGGTGACCCCAACCTTTTCACGTCCGATCGGGGAATCGAACCCCGGCAAAAGGCAAGTGCGCTATCCACTGCACCACCCGACCACCCGTTTACTGTCGTTTACTGTATATATACCTGTCAACACGGATTTAATCTGTCGTAGTTTTCGTACTTGATCCTCCGCTTCCAGACACTGTATACTGCTGAACCAAAGAATGAGTTTCGAGTGCGGACACTTGCTATAACAAAAACGAAATAATAGGCCATCATTTGTATATAATTCGCATATAAATCGATCAATGCATATTATTATGGTAGTTGTCTCGACCGATTATCATACAAATGTACCGTGATATTGCGTATTTATGTGACGTGTAGTTTGATTTGTTGAATAAAAATGACATTAAAATTGACAAGGACGAGTATTGTTAGCAGTCCACAGTCCCCGACCTGGTGACAACTATGTATATGAAGGAGCAGGTCCACCGAAGTCAGTCAGCAACATTCCGCAATTCAAAGTGACACTCGCGTAGACTTCGTTAGGTTATTATACGTGAGAATGTATATAAGAAATGATCCGGACAACAAAAAGTACGATGCATGAAGAGCATAACTTCCTATATAGTGTGGCACGCGACCCCAACGTTCCACAACTTCAATGGTATATGGCTATTGCAAGTAACAAATTATAAAACCTGGACAAAGTAATGCATTATGATAAAAAAAGGCCGTAACTCTTTATATAGAGTGTAAAACCAGAATGTTACACGCATACAAAGTAACAAAGTAACGGACAGAGTATAAACCTGTAGTGCCGGTTTCCGTCTAATAACGATCTATAATAACCTTTTTACTTACTCTTCTATATTACAACAAGCATATTACAGACTGGTGTGTTGAACATATTCCTATCTCCTCTATATTGCATACTATTCGTAACAAGATGGACTTTCGAATGAATCATGACTTAACTGAGGGAAGAAAGTGGTTAATGAACAACAGGTCTATATGATAATAAAACATACCTGGCTTTGTTGATGCCATTTTCGTAATCAGCTGCTATAGGAGTAATGTCGAGTTTGTCAGCATATTCCGCTGACAGGCGGCCACAGGTTTCAAACAAAAACTCTACAACATAGAAAAAACATTACATATATACCGAATCGCAATCAGGAAATAAAAAGCAGTATATTGTTGGATATTATATTCCTTAAAGTTTTGTTTATACTTTCTACGTCATGAGTAGCGCCATGCACATATATGCAAAAGAAAAAAGTACACTTTACTGCGAGAAGTCATTATATTCGGAGCACGCCCTTGAATATCGATTAAACTGCTACACGTACAAACGTAAGTAAAGGAAGCAGGGATGTTACTATCAAGAAAGGGAAAGGTCATCATCGGAAACTCAAAATCGTCCTGCTCACCTACAGCTAAGTGGACAGCCTTCCTTGTTGTTCACGTTGTAAGTAAAGATAGAAAGAAAACGACTGAAGTAAAAGGACTCACACAACTAAATCAGCCAATCAGCAAGTGTTTCATACGATTGTAATCCCTACCTAGAAACTGTTTCAGTTAAATACAGTGACTTTGAGCAATTTCAATGGGTAGTTGTGGACATATGCAACTTTGAATGAAATCTACAGATCTTTAACGTTTAGTTTAAGTAGATTTGAATATGTGATAGAGGATTGATATGGGGTCAAAAAATGCCTTTCAAGCCTTTTTCGGGTATGTATCTATGAATCTAGACAGTTGTCAATAGTGTTGACTTCAAATATTAAAGCTATTATCTGAAAAGCATAGTAATACCATATAGTTAATGAGTTAGTTGTGCGAGTCCTAAAAGAGTCTTCAGTGTCCTTTATTTCAAGCCCTCGATATTCCGTCTTTGCGTATTGCAGAGTTATCTTCTCTTGGGAGCAGGTATTGATTGTTACGTCACTTGTTTGTGAGAGTAACGTCATCAATTTTTGAGAAAACGACGTCATTTTCTCACACAAACAAGTGACGTAACAATCAATACCTGCTCCCAAGAGAAGATAACTCTGCAATACGCAAAGACGGAATACCCTCTTCATATGATGGATGTGTCGATTTATTTCTTGCAATTTGAAGATTGTACATCGTTGATATACCTGGAGGTGAAGTTGACGGACTCGGCTAGGTGTTTGTTAGCAGGCATGACATGCGGGAAAGAAACAGCCAAAGGAGAGACACAGTTTGTTCTCATAGGAATGTCTACGGTCTGCTTGAACCGAACAGATATATTATTGTCGACATGGAACTTAATCATTTTCAGATAGTCGTCTTCAGTATACTTCAAATTGGCCGTTCTTGTATTTTTTAACAAAAAATATTCCAATATTATTTAAAACCAAATACATTGTATAAAAAGAATGCTCATATAACAAGAAAACGAAGGCTTTCTTTCAATTTGGTATCAGATATAGCAGTGTAAATGATGGAAGAAACATTTCTGAAAAGAATGTTCAAGATAGATCTAAGTATCTTTTAAATTTGTCAAATTCAACATACCCTCAATTCCACTTCTTGTGTATAGAGTGTCACAACATGACTGTACCCTGATTAAATGGTACTGAAAGTGGAAACGAGAAGTTCGGATAATGGCTTGGTTGAGGAACTAGAAGAGCCAGTGATAAAACGTAGTTCGTTAGAAATCTTTGGAAGATTCGGAATACAGTACATATGAGGCAGATCCGTATCATTCTCATTAGTTGGTGTTTTGAAAGAATTTAAAAAAGAAGCGTGATTTGCTAGTGTTTTGTCTTATGTAAATTTATAGGTACACGTTGCCTTGATTATCGAGCGAACCTAGTGTCTGCTGCAGGCAGGTAAAGTTAATTCATTTTTTTTATGAATGAAGGACCCAATATATTTGACCCACTCTGAAAGTGAATCCAACTTTCTCTAATGTTCTGGCGTTATCTTCCACATATCCCCAAGTATCTTGAAATTTACCTTCCAGTTGATAGTAGGAGCTTCTCGATACTTAGGATCCTTCATAAAATGCTTTCGTAGCTACGCATTATGGATAGTATTAAGATCGTCAGTGACCATACTAGAATGGGGACCTGGAGCAAGAACATCCTGAAGAAGAAGTTATTATAAGGTCATCTAAATCCAACGAAATACTGCATAACTTATGTCAGCGTTAACTAAATTATTTAAGCATTGAACTGTTTTTGTATGGTATTTATTATCTATTTGAATGACACAGCTTTGCAAGCAAACAACATAATGCGCGCTAGCTTATATTTACGTTTTCTCTGCCTCTTATGTTCTTTTTTAATTTATAATTTATATTCAAAATTAAAATGCCCGCCTTATCGACAGTCCACACAATTTCGTTCAATAGTTTGAACAGTGTATTGTCGCGTGCTGATTGGCAAACAAAGTAGTACTTTGAAATTTTAACAAACACTTCAATTTTATTCCACAATTCAGTATCAATACAATTGCGTATGATATGTCTATAGGGTGATTTAAGTTTATCAATAGAACTCTGAGCTGAAAGTTAGATTTGAAATTGTTTCGATTTTTCCCCGGAACAAATTTCGCGCATGGACAAATACAGTGAACACCGTAAATCCGACCTCGAATTCGAACATTTCACTTTGCTCAGGCGTAAATTTATTTGTTGATTGTATGGGAACCTGACAACAGTCGGCAGATTCTATAACAGCGTCATTATTTGACATGTCGTCAGAAACTGAGAAACCATGGATGCGAGACGCGTGCAACTGATATCATTTGAAGTGAGTGATCTTGCGACGGAGCACAGGTTCGTTACGCATGTCTGAAATGTCTGTGTGTGCTGTGACTCATATCAGTAGGTCTGTAACATATGTGTCAGTAGGTCTATAGAATATGTATATTTCAGACATTTGTAACGAACCCCTGTTGATCAGTGCAGTGTAACAGACGATATTTTTGATAAACTACATGAGCGTTAAAATTGTTTCCATTGCCGGCATTGGTGATTTCAACCGATGTGCATTTTGTACGATATTGCAGACCTTGGTCTTGTTTTCGTTGTAATAAAAGTGTTTTTTTATTTTATTTTTTATTTGCACATAAATTTACAATGACATTGTCAAATCTAACAATGCCCAGAGATATTTCAGCAGCCGTCATGTTTATTTATATTGGATATTGTAGTTCCGGTCAATGTTGTATGAATACGCTAATAATTGTGTCTCGTGATGCATGGTAATTAAAGTCCCATCAACGACACAGCTTTCAAAGAGGCTATATAGTGACAATGCCATTCAAATGTAAATATATATCAATCAACACATTATTGTTAATTGGTTATAAATAAACTGCTATACATAACAAACCGAATGGTTCGTTTCCTGGAGTGAGTCCAAGGGCCGTATTCATGAAACCGTTCTTATACCCAAGCACGGATTTTGTTCTCAAGCCTATATTCTTGCTCTCGTTATGAATTAATAAAAAAGAACGCTGTTGTCAGTGATTAGGAACACTTTTGAAGAGACTTAAAGACAAACACTGTTTTCGATGGTTACATTTGTCTTTGTGGTCGTTTGACATGACGTAAGCAAGGTACAAGAAAGTTGGTTAGAACACATAATTCATGTTGAGCATGATAATGGTTTCGTGAATACGGGCCCAGATCAATACACAAACTGAAGAAGATATACAGTACATACGTATCCTATGTTATTACATTCTCTGCCTTTGTATATAAAAGGTTCATTAAATGTATCATTTTGACTGCTACCTCTATTGATATAAATCATTATCAGTTTTTATTGTTAATCTAAGGCTATAAATGCATGACAATGACTAACGTTTACATACCTTTAGATATATCAATGGGATAAAAGTGAATCTTGTCTTGATATTTCAAAAGTTCATCTATGAAGAAACGTGTTTTCTGACAGTTCCCGCTTCCCATATCAACCAGCGCTGTATATTGTGTGTCATGTTCAAGCATAGCCTGCGAAAAAAATGAACAATCTTTAAAATATTTCAGATATGACAAGTTTCAAAATTTGGACAAATAATATGAATAACAACATTCAAAAATTTTGATGAAAGCAAAACAAAATAACACGCACAAAATCATTCTTTCAGTACTGAAATGACACAATTAACGCCATAAATCTAAACATTATTTTTATTCACTTGAATGCCGGATAGTAATCTCGTAAAGGACAATCATTGGGTGTTTAGTTATACCTTTGTTAAGATGTTTTTTTACGTAAAATATTGACGGATTAATTGCCTTCCTCACCGCAATTTTGGTTTGCATTACATTCAGTTCACTTCTGTGAACGTAGTAGTCTGTGTCCTCCAAACACTTGTCGTTAAGCTTTGACCCATCCTCGTCGTACCGATACCAGCCAGGAATATATTTAGGACTGGTCGTTAAACCAAAAAGAATAGCTTTCCTTACATCCATGACACTGTCAAATGAAAAATATATTATGTTATATTTAAATAAATTAAAGTAAAAAGCGCAGTCATAGGTTCATTGATCGAGGACATGACTCTGCAATCCATAATGGGAACAAAATAAAACAAAACACTGATGTTTTAACCCCTGTTTTTACAATACAGAAATATACATGATTGCTAAAGGTTTGTTATTTTAACAAATAAAAGATTTGTAAGGCTATTCTGAATATTGTTATTGCAGCGTTTCTTGAGGCGAGAGTTTCAAAATAGCTCAAAATTACACATTTTCTGTCAATATTTCACAGAAAATGTAGTCAAAGTCAGAAACCATTGTAGAGGAGCTAGCTGTCAGGACTGTAGTCTCCAGAAACCATTGTAGAGGAGCTAGCTGTCGGGACTGTAGTCTCCAGAGACCATTGTAGAGGAGCTAGCTGTCGGGACTGTAGTCTCAAGAAACCATTGTAGAGGAGCTAGCTGTCGGGACTGTAGTCTCCAGAGACCATTGTAGAGGAGCTAGCTGTCGGGACTGTAGTCTCAAGAAACCATTGTAGAGGAGCTAGCTGTCGGGCCTGTAGTCTCCAGAAACCATTGTAGAGGAGCGAGCTGTCGGGACTGTAGTCTCCAGAAACCATTGCAGAGGAGCTAGCTGTCGGGACTGTAGTCTCCAGAGACCATTGTAGAGGAGCTAGCTGTCGGGACTGTAGTCTCCAGAAACCATTGTAGAGGGGCTAGCTGTCGGGACTGTAGTCTCCAGAAACCATTGCAGAGGAGCTAGCTGTCGGGACTGTAGTCTCCAGAGACCATTGTAGAGGAGCTAGCTGTCGGGACTGTAGTCTCAAGAAACCATTGTAGAGGAGCTAGCTGTCGGGACTGTAGTCTCCAGAAACCATTGTAGAGGAACTAGCTGTCGGGACTGTAGTCTCCAGAAACCCTTGTAGAGGAGCTAGCTGTCGGGACTGTAGTCTCAAGAAACCATTGTAGAGGAGCTAGCTGTCGGGCCTGTAGTCTCCAGAAACCATTGTAGAGGAGCGAGCTGTCGGGACTGTAGTCTCCAGAAACCATTGCAGAGGAGCTAGCTGTCGGGACTGTAGTCTCCAGAGACCATTGTAGAGGAGCTAGCTGTCGGGACTGTAGTCTCAAGAAACCATTGTAGAGGAGCTAGCTGTCGGGCCTGTAGTCTCCAGAAACCATTGTAGAGGAGCTAGCTTTCGGGACTGTAGTCTCCAGAAACCATTGTAGAGGAGCTAGCTGTCAGGACTGTAGTCTCAAGCTTTCCCGCATAACCCCTCCATGTTTCATAATCTTAACGCTTTCGATAGACACATACTTTGTGAAAGTATGAGTTTATTGTATGCTGATTCCATTTTTATTCTAACATGTGGACAGAGTTTGTTTGTAAACTAAGAAGTTATCAGTGTTGTTGGTAGAGATGGTAATATGACAAAAGTCAAATCGACTTTGATGGATCTTGTATCCTACATCTGTTTTCACATATCTTTTGAAAAGTTGTTTGTCAAGGTAATTTTGTGTCGATTTCTTTAACAAAATACTTTAATTTAACTCATACCTATTACAAATGTAACTTGAAAAGAGTTTTGTTCTTGTAAATCTTTATAAATAATCAAACAAACTGTCACATACTATCTAAAAACCTGTTTTCGTAACGTTTCTTGACTGAAATGGTTTTACAAATACTGTTTACTATGTCTGTCAGAGGTTTTATTTGACTTTCGTTGTTGTAAATCTTCATAAATACTAAAACAAACTGTCACATACTATGTAAAAACCTGTTTTCATGACGTTTTCTGATTGAAATGGTTCTGCTAATGCTGAGAATTTTAAACTTTTTCACATCTGTCAGAGGTTTTATATTAAAAAAGGTATACTTTTGAATAAAAATATGTTATAAAATGTCTGTCATCATACTTTTGTGTCAATTTCGTTAACAAAACATTTTAATACAACTCATTCCTATTAAAAAAATAACTTTAAAAGACTTCCGTTGATGTAAATCTTCTTAAATACTAAAAAAAACTTTCACATACTATGTAAAAACCTGTTTTCATGACGTTTCCTGATTGAAATTGTTTTATAAATGTTGTGTATTTTAAACTATATCACATCTGTCAGAGGTTTTATTTTAAAAAAAGGTATACCTTTGAATAAAAATATGTTATCAAATGTCTGTCATCATACTTTTGTATCAATTTCTTTAACAAATTACTTTAATTTAACTCATACATGTACCTGTTAAAAATTTAACTTGAAAAGACTTTCGTTGTTGTAAATCTTCATAAATACTAAAAAAAACTGTCACATACTATGCATAAACCTGTTTACATAACGTTTCCTGATTGAAATTGTTTTATAAATGTTGTGTATTTTGAACTATTTCATATCTGTTAGAGGTTTTATATTAAAAAAGGTATACTTTTGAATAACATCTCTAATGAAAAGTTGTTTGTCAAGGTACTTTTGTGTCAATTTCTATAACAAAATACTTAAATTTAACTCATACCCGTTTAACTTGAAAAGACTTCTGGTGTTGTTAATCTTCATGAATACTAAAATAAACTGTCACACACTGTAAAAACCCGGTTTCCATATCGTTTCTTGATTGAAATTGTTTTACAAATACTGTGTGTTTATTTGATGATTATAAAGTTCCATACATGTTTACTTATATTGTGTTGACCTTTTTTCTTGCAATATAGACTAATGCAAAGCTATTATTTGAGTTAGATCATTTAAGGCAATTTGAAATCAGAAAAATGTTGTTGGTTACTTTCTATAAAAAAGTCAACTGAACTGGGTCTCTTAAAGTCTATATATTATATAATATATCAAAAAAAGAAATTGTTCCAATCATTTGATTAGACTTGTATGACGAAAATGAGAAATTGTCTCAGACAGGCTGAGAAGGATTAAGTGTAGTCTCTTCTAGAGAACTGATAATGTATCAGTACTTTGGCTAAAAGCGAATGTTATCGTTAAACACCTTTCATATGTATTTCATGTATCATTTCGAATGCAAAGAAAAGCATGCCTTGACTGAAAAATAATTATTACTTATACTTCTGTGTGTGTGTGCGTGTGTGCGTGTGTGTGTGTGTGTGTGTGTCTGTCTGTCTGTCTGTGTCTGTATGTCTGTCTGTCTGTATAATACAAGTATTATTGCTAATGGTGTAAAATGTACATTCATTAAACTTAGTAATAATTGGCATTTATGTAATCGCAATCAAGATAACATTGCCGAGGAGTTACCTCCCGTCTCTGTTAGTATGTTGTTTGTGTATCGTATACAGACATGTATATGTTACTTTCTGTGTTCTGTATGCATGTCATGAGAGATCACTCTCCACATATGTATGTAATATTATGTATATATGTATGTATGCCTATGGGTCGTAAGGCCCCCGGTATAAACTTGAATTGAATTGAATTGTAGGTAGAGATGGAAATCCTAGGTTTGATGTATATACAATGTACTAATCTTGTTGTTTGGATTGGTAGGGGATTGACTTGTGAAGTGACCTGTGGATGTATGGTGGCTGTTGTGTATAGGACCAGCTAACTTAATTACCTGACATTGTTAAAAGACTATATATACCAAAGAAGGTAACATATTTCTTTGTAAAACTATTCCCTCCAATTTCGTTTTATCCCTCCTCACATTCTTACATATCATGTCCATTCTTCTTGATGGAAAGAGTTGCTTAATACCTAAACAACAATATAGTGTGGTATGCTTGTCAGAGGGATTTTTTCGTTGTCTATGCGATTAATAGTCCCATTTGTGTAGTCTCCATATATAAATACACCCAATGTCGACTCTTTGTTAATGGTGTTTAGACACCTATGAGACCTTACGAGTTCATTGTAAGTCATCGCTATCTTTACATCCCCTACTGTTAGTATGAAAGGCCACATATTGTTAAATAAAGGCAATTCCTTCCAATCTGGTGATGTCCCTCAACGTTAAAACTTAACTTAAAATAATGTGTGTTTGGACTTGTAAAATTGTAAAATAAATAAATTGCAAAACAAAGGCTTTCTCCTCGATATGATTTTTCATCGTGAATTATCCAGAAATATCAACGCCTATGTGCTCTTTAAACATGATAAACAAATCAAGCAGAGAATCGTCATAGGAGAATTGTTTTTCTTTCCAAAGATCTTTTAATGTCCCCACTACTTCGATTATGTGTTCGTGTTTTTATTTCATGCCAGTCGTACGACCAACCCCTCTCGATCAGCTTCTCATTATCGCAATGGTGTACCTTGTAATATGTACGCAGAAACAAGCACAATGATTACCTTAAAAATCGTGGAAGGACTACTCCCATGTCCTTAAAATGTTCTTAATATGGTATGAGGTTATTCAAAAATTAATCTGCATAAACTCTACGGTATCATCATTTGTAAGTATACGCAATCGTTCGACCACCTTTTATATTCGATTTCTACACAATCGTAGGCTGTTCATGAGCTTAAATGTACTCCGCATATGAAACAGGTGACTTTATCACTTTGTCCTGAATAGAAAACCCCGTTAAGATCAAGCTGGTTTGGAGTTTTGATGCACTTGTAGTGACCAGTCCTTAAAGGTTTTTATACGGTCACGCATTTAATCATTGACTAATAATCTGCTCGAATCTGATATGAAGTATGGCGGATACAATCTGTTGTAATATCTGACATGTCAATCTCTGTGTATCAAAGTACAAACACACTGTAAGCTTTACGATAGAAACAGCGTGTTTTTTTTTTTAAATCTCCCGTTATTTTTATACTCCTGCCATCTGATTTTAGGGTGTGGAAAGAAGGAATCTTAGATATGCATGATTTCTTTTTTCTTTAGATTAAGTTGATGCTTTATTTGAACAGCTAACATTTCAATAACAATACATGGGTTAACGAATACATACTCGAGCTGTTGTCTTAAAAGTCTCCACATAAATTAATAAAAAATGATAGTCGTTATGGTTTTATGAAGCGACTTTCTAACCGGTGCATAGATTTAATGATTTCATTA